TTTATTGTAGAAATTAGTACATTTAAAAAAAACCTCTCCCATCTGCCTCATGAGTAGCTGAGGGCAGGGAAAGGGATGCTTAAGTTGGCATTGCTCCTGGAAAAAATGACTGTCATATTATGCTGTCACCAGTATTTCTGAAGAAAATTTAGAGTACAGGGTTGAGTATTTCAGATCTAACGAGTGGGTTTTTTTCTTGTCCCAGCCACTCCCTTCTTGAAAACAGAGTTAGTATTCTGGACTGCACAATAGGTAAAACCTTTAGCTTAACAGTTGTGCCAATACAAATTTTGAATTTTAATCTCTTTCATCAAGTAACCCTCTTTGAATCAAAACATCTTCTTTTGAAGAAAGCATATGCTTTTATTTTTTTCATAATCAGCTTAAAAAAAAAAAAAAGAAAGAAAGAAAGAAAAACTCCAACAATTGGACTCAATCTATTTTTTTTTTAAGTTTTTGGTTTTTTCTGTTGTTTTTCTGAAAATTCAACTGAAAAAAATTCTTGCCAGCTCTAGAATGCAATGCATGATTGCTCCTACATGGATATTCTTTTATTCTTCGGCAGAGATATGAGCTAACTTTGCAAATAAGATACAGTCTGGTTGCTGATATAGTAAGTTGTATCTTCAGTTCCAGAGATGCACTTTCTCTGTGTTTTCAAGCAAGTCAAACTCAGAACTACCAAAAATATTAGCTGCTGCTACAACAAGCCCTGCAAAGCCTGAGAATCTGTGCATGGCATCTGCTATGCCCTAAGGATATAAGAGGTGGGTGGGAAATACAGAAGAGACTAATGTGCTTCCAGCCTGTCCTACTACAGGACAAGTTCTTCTTTTCTCTCCTAAGCTCTTCTTTTCTTTCCTTTCCTTTTCTTTTCTTTTCTTTTCTGGACATTATTTAATATTTGAAAGGTTCTTTGAAATCTCTGCATGAAAGCTCTAGGCAAAATGTTAATTCATGTTTCTATAACTCATAATTTTTGCTTGTACTGTCTGGTGTGAAAGGTGTTTTAACTGCAATAGCAAACAGTTTAAAATTAAGTAAAACCACTTTCTTTTTCTTGGGAAACTCATAACAAAAAAAAAGAAATTACTTTGATTTCTTTTTAACTCTTCCATTCTAAAGGGTTTTTTTATCTTTACCTTTCAAAGACTAAGATAAAGTTAAATATAGTTATGATATTAGGCCTAGATTTGCTTTTTCATCCATGGAAGTTTAGTCGACAGAAAGAGAAATCAACATCTTGTTGCTGGTATCTTTTTGCCAGCTGCATTACATAGTCAGCATGCTGTACGAGTATCTCATTATCAGTTCTTTTGGACTTCTTATGCTATCTGGACTCTAGGAAAAGAATATGATGAAATGGTTAATAAAAATATAAGGGAGAATAATACTTAAGAATAAGGTTTTCTATAAAAATCAAGGAAGTTTTTAAAGCTGTTCTCCTGTAAGTCTGTTCTCTCAGACCTGAGAAAGCTTTAGGACAGCCAGAGCATCAGCCCACTGCACTGCACGATTCTGGAAAGAACCTTTTCACATTTTGTGCAAATGCACAGACAAAGATAATGACACTCACTATGGCTATAAAGTATAATATTAGCTAACCATTACTCATATTGCAAATGCAAAACCAAATAAATGGCTGTGTTACTAAAGTTAAAACAAACAAATGAAAAAAAAACCCATACAAAAACCTCCAACAAAAAACAAACACCAAAAAACATGTGGCAGCAGGACACTGGACACTATGGGTACAAAAGCTCATAGTGTCAAACAAGGTTCTCTAAACACATCACCAGCTACTTTCCATGATTGCAAAGATTAACAATCAAAGGGGTAGCATCCACACATTTCAAGTGAGGCATAGATAACTGTTCACATTTTAAAGATAATGGGCAGTGCAAGAATGAATAAAATATTTTGTCCATTATGACAGTGTGTACATAGTCTGGGATCTTTCACGTGACGGTAATCCTGATACCCCAGTTTTACAAGCTCATTGTTTTCTCTGCTTGCTTTGTGTTTGGCCTACCTTGGTATCACAGCTTCACAGGTGATAATGAAATGGCACCACTTCTCTCAAGGACATTTAATTTGAATGTTGTCAACAACTGCACAAAATCAAGTTAAAGCACAAACCAATAACCTCTCCATTTGCAGCCCAAGCAATACTGTCAGAATGCAGAACACAGAGTAAAAAGCAGCCAAAGCTGCTGAAGGTGCTAAGGTGATGCCACAGTTTATCCCCTACTAATTTCGTTGTAATGAGAATATTATAACTGCTATCAAAAAGTAGAGAGGACAATATTTTTTCCCCTTTTAGAAGCTGCAAGGCTTGGAATGACACACTTCTTAACAGCCTTGAAATTAATCCAGGATTATTCAACTGCATGAGAATTGTTAGAAGACTGGAAACAACATCCCACACTCTGTCTTTTTACTGTAACCTTCCTTATAGTATCATCTTGCAGTGAAACCTGAATATCCTAATGGGATTAAACATGAAAGAAAGTCAGGAAAAAAGCCACTGGATTAGAATTTTAACTGAAGCCTTCTGTGAGAAAGACCACACCACTGTCAGTGACCTTTCTCTCCCCATGTGTGATCCCAGTTGTGCATAGTCAAGTGTCCAAAACAGACTCCATCAGTTCACGCTGTATTTATCCTTTAGCTCCTGAAACAGGTGTCTTGTTACTGAGAGAAAAAGTATTCATGCTATTGATTAGGCTGTATTAACCAACCCTGCAAAAGTGCATAATGTTCTCTGGTATGAAAAGCAGAATATAATGATGCCGTTTAAGTCATGAGTTTTGTATTGACAAAACCCATCATACTAAGCAAAACACAATGAATTCTGTTCTAGCAAGTAGGGGAAAGGCGGGGGGGGGGGGGGAAATGCAGGCTTTTGGGTGTTTTAGAATGCCATTTCTATCTCCAGCTTCAGCCTTTGTTTGTTTTTTAAATGCATTCTCTGATAAGTTTGCCTTTATATATCTAAAAAAAATGTTTTAGAATCTCATACTGTATCTTCACAGACCTCATTAGATACCACAAGAATGCTTTTCATCTCATTTTTTACTCTAAACTCCTGAAGTCCTTCCTAAGTCTGAACAATTATGTTAAGTAGGGAGCCGTTATTCACAGATGAGCAGAAAACCAAGCTCAATCAAAAGAAACTTCTAAAACACTTTTCATTTTTATCATTCTAGATCTCTATGCCTTTGCAGTGCTCTGAAGATTCATACTCAGTCTCATAAATGCTATCACGAAACATTAACAACAGTGTAAACTCTAGTGTGGGAGGATATGTATGAGGTTGAATTCCTGTTCCTACACCCAGATACATGCTCCAAATGGGGCAACAAGAGGAACTTTCCTCACATCTTTCCAGCCAGTGTGTTCTCTTAGTAATGTAATGTAACTCCAGCTCAACTTGTTGTTGCTCTCCTTTTCATACTAATTGAAATACCTGAAATGAAATCTTAGGTATTAATTTGTTTATTTTTAATTTACTGTAGCAACTACTACATCTAGTGCTGAACCAGTACAAACAGCAAGAAGATAGTCCTTGACCTTTTGTGAGATAAGTGTAAGAGAAGAGACAAAGAATAGCTAGACAGCACCATAATCAGATATTCGGATCAGCAGTCAGTAGGCCATGACTACTGCATACATTTTCTCTGATTTGTCAGTTCTGATTTGCAGATTGAGATAATTATAGTCAACATACAATTTCCTATCAACATTTATAATCTCTTTGGCTCCTGTTTTAAGCCCCAGTTCGTATTTCTCTACAACACAAAAAAAAAGCCTTTTGATCTGTCCCATCACATAAAATGCTCTGCCTTTTCCTGCCCTGGTCTCCCAATATCTTTTGTAGTAGACAGAAAGAGTAGGGACATAAGGTTTACAAAAAGGATGTATCAATATACAAAGATCTTCACAAAGAAAATAAATTAGACATTTGACATGAACATGAATGACAGTTTCAACACTATGGTTTTAAAAATCCTGCTTTCTGGTTGCAGAATTAATTGTGATGAAATATATTCATCCTGGATGCTCTAATATTTAGAAGGAGTTCACCAAAGCTTTTAATCTGCCTAAAATTCCATCGACAAAAGCCCTTGATTGTGATTTACCATGTCACTTCCCTCTTTGAGTCAACTGGCTTATCTTTGCCCACCAAAGTTTAGTGCTCAAACTCTGTAATTTAAACAGCGCTGCTCCAGTGTGTCCCAGGTTTTCTATCTTACAAAAAATATCTTATCACCGTAGTTTCACAAACAGAAAGCTTCACTGTTCCTTTCTTTCTTTATCTTTCTTCCAATTTTGAGTCTAATTCAGATTCAGCTCCCCTTTTTTTCATCCAAGAGACCCACTGCTTCCTAAGGACTGTTATTTGTTAGGAGTAATTCATTTGCATTCCCAAACTTATATTGGATAAATGAGATGTAAACAACAATCATCCCTTCCCTAGGAATCATCAATGGGTTTTTTCCACTATGTTTGTTGGTTTTCTAGAATAAACACATTTCATTCATAAATTATCTAGCAGCATTTGTCTTGAACACTGATGAACACACTGTCATCATAAATAACTTTCCTGGTAAAAGGATTTCCATGGCTCCAATGTCATAGATAGATAGTTATGAAAACTGCAGTCTTCCCACTGCACAGTACAGAGGGACTGTTCTCTCACAAGCAAACAACAGCTCTCTGATGAGTAAGGTTTGCTGACCAAAGTAAGGATTAATTAACCTGGAGCTCTCAAATACACAGTAACTGTTACAGGTATTTATGCTAGACTCTTTATATCCAAAATGTTATGTAAATGCTGTATTTCATACAATTATAGCATTTAGAACTCAGATTTTAATGTCATCAAAACTTACTCTACACCAACTTTGGCCCATGTACCCTAATGTATCCCACTGGATGAACAGAAACCAGTTAAATTCATTATTAATTTGCACAGCAAAAAAATACAGAGACAATACCTGCACAAACCCACACATCATGTAGTCATCAAACAAAGGCAGACTAGGGCGGTCCTCTCGATATATTGTGATTTTGTAGCTGCTCACAACCTGAGGGCTGGGCTGAGAATCATCTGTTACGAGAACAATGACTTTGTTCAATCCAAGGCCAAGGGGGTAGTTAGCAATGCTGGAAGGCAAAACAGGAAAGGAGTGGAACACTAAAGATACAGAGATTTACACTGCTTTATGGATGGCAGCTAAACTTCACTTGCTCCTTGAGGTTTCTATTTTTAACACTTTCTTTTTCTTTCAAAACACATGATTTTAAATAAAAACAGTGTAAAATAAGACTTGTCACAATTTACATTTCTTTCAGGAAAACTAATACTGACAGTGAAACTTAGTGGTAACACTGTCAACAATTCTGACATGAAATTTGTGAATGAAGGGAAATAAGAAATGCTGAAAAGACATAGAACCTGCATATCCAGGGCTTTTACTTTTCATTGTAAGTGACATATTGCTATTCTATTTTCCTTTTACAAGGAAGTATCCATGTTGACTGCCAAGGCAGTTAACATTAAAACACTAAAGCTGGGTGAAAGAATTTTGTGGGAGCTTCTTTTGAATTGACAAATCAAGGTACATTTCCTTTAGAAAATAGATAAAGCATGTTAGGCATTAGATCAGTAACAACTGTCTATCTAGTTAATAGCAGACATTCTAGGTCAAAGCATCTGCTTTATAGTCAGTCAAAACACAGAATGTTGCGTAGGCCCTTCATGCCATGAAGCAAAGCTAGCTCAATAACAGTTAAGGATTTTTCCTCCCAAGTGTGTCATTGTCCCTGCTCTCCCTTTCATCCACTCACTAATGGCTAGTATGTAAATAGGCCAGTTCTCTGGTTCTGAGTTACCTGACCCAGATAAATAAACTCTCTTTGTCCCTCCCAACATCCAAAACCAAACCATGCCCAAAATACCTATTGGGATTGTCCCTGGCACATACTGTCTGTGAAAGAGATGATTGAGAAAGCCAAAACTGTGCCAGAGATCAGAGTAGCAATTAAACATCGTGGATGATTGTCGTTCAGTGCTCAAACCTGATGTTTAGTGACGACTTTGCTCTCTACCCTGTCTTCTAGCTTTATACTTCTCTAAAAGATCAGATAAACTGGGACTCTTGCTGATGACATGACAACACACTTAGTGGATGAGAGAAAGGCTGGGGAAGTTGTTTATCTGGACTTTAGGAAAGCCTTTCATGCTTTCCCAGAGCATTCTCATGGAGAAACTGCACATGAATTGGATGGGTGTACGCTTTGTCGGCTGAAAATCTGGCTGGATGGCTAGGCCCCAAGAGTGGTGGTGAATGGGGTTAAATCCAGTTGTTTGCCACCCACAAGTGGTGTTCCCCAGGGCCCAGTACTGAGGCCAGGTCTGTTTAATATCATTATCAATTATATGGATGAGGAGATTGAGTGCACCCCCAGTAAGTTTGTAGATGACACCGAGTTGGGCAGGAGTGGTGATCTGCCTAAGGGTAGAAAGGCACTACGTAGGGATCTGTGATAGGGTGGATCAATGGGATAAGGCCAGCTGTACGAGTTTCAAAAAGGCTCAGTTCCAGGACCTGCACTTGGGTCACAACAACCCCATGCAATGCTATAGGCTTGGGGAAGAGTGGTTGGAAAGCTGCCTGGTGGAAAAGGACTGGGATGTTGGTCAATAGCCAGCTGAATGTGAGCCAGCTTGTGCCCAGGTGGCCACAAAGGCCAATAGTGTCCTGTCTTGGATCAGAAATAGTGTGGCCAGCAGTACTAGGGAAGTGACTGCCCCCCTGTACTCAGCACTGGTGAGGCTGCATCTTGAATACTGTGTTAAGTTCTGGGCCACTCACTACAAGAAAGACATGGAGGTGCTGAAGTGTATCCAGAGAAGGGCAATGAAGCTGATGAAAGAAACACAAAACAATACTGTAATATTTTGATGTATTTCCAAAGTTAAGGACACGTTTACTTTTTACACTCATATTTTGTAGCTCATACCTTGGCCCTTTCTTCTCTTCAAGGTGTACTTGGCATTGACAGTTAGAAGGTTCTGCTCCTATCTTCACTGTCACCATGTCGAATGGGACTTCTGCATAGTATTCTTTGATCTTTGGGTTAAATTGAGGATTCAGGTCCAGCTGTGGACTGGTGAAGATCTGCCTGATATGAGATAGGGTATCTTTATCTGTTCCAAGAAGGCATCAAAGAAAAAACTGTGAAATGTATGAACATTTTTAAGTAACATGCAACTTCTGGCAGTTTGATAACATGTACAGTGACAAGATTTTTAATGCCTGGTCACTCTGATACTGATAATCCTGCTGCAAGGTCTTAATGGATTTTCTATTGGCATTTCATAGAAGATTTTAGAGCCTGGAAGGATTTTAATCATTCAGTGCCCAATGACTCCAGCCAAAGTCACAAAACTTAGTCTTAGTAAGCCTTTGAAAATGCAAGGATTAGGTCTGGGAGATCCTGACTCCAGTTGGTTAACTGAAACTTGAAGAGTTAGGCCAAAATTCATAACTACTTAGGTACCAGCCTGTATACAGGGTTTACGTACATGTGAAATTGCCAATGATAATCAAAATAACTTAGACATATCCTTAATGCTCATGAGAACAAGTCACATGGAGATACCTAGACCCGTGGGGTCATTTGCAGTACAGCTGGAAGAAGGCTTTATTAAAATTCCTAAATCAACAAATTCCAGCTCCTTCCCTATGTGTGAAACCTCCACAATCAAATCCTATTTGCTCAAATGTATCCTTAAGCTTGTAGTGTTTGCCAAATGACTCATGAGAATAATTATTTGCTGGCAACCCACTTATGACAAATATTTTAATCCAACCTATTGGATTCAGATTCACAGCATAATTACACATTCAAAAGTTGCTTTTCACACATATTCTCCAGTACAGGTTTAAAGATGGGTACTTTAAAAATATTCCAGCCAGGAAACTCTTTTATTATAGTATCAAAAAAATCTTGTGGCTTAAAATACGTCTTAAGGGGCGTAAATGACGCAAGTAGTTCTATGTGGGCCTTTTCTACCCCGAAATATCTGCCTTGAGAAGCAAAACAGGGCAATTTCAGCACTCTCTTTCATGGATTAAAATGTAAAGGAAGTTATTCCAGTAGAAAAGCAGAATTCAGGTTAGATTTGTAGAGGAGTAGAGGCTTATAAGTTGACACAAAAGGTATTTAAAAGAATTCTACAGGTGAGTATAAACAGTTCTCCAGATTCTCTATGCCTTACCTAGAAAGGATGTCTCACTACTAGCTTAAAAATCAGGAGGAATTTTCAAAAGAAAACTAATTGAGGCATTTTCAAAATAAAATATAGAATGGTGATAACAGCCAGCCAGTCCAGGAGCATTTCTGGCCTCTGACTGACACTGAGGAGTTCCTGGAGGCACCATGCGATCAGCAACAGAGGTGAAATGGGGCTCAATGGGTAGAAAAGCCTTTCTGCCACAGAGCAGTTGTTTTGCATTTATAAAGGAACCCCTCAGATAATGTGTCAATGAGGAAGGCAGCAGAAAGCATTGCTCCCACCAAAAACAACTATACTTTAAAGCTTTACTCATCCTTAAATATACTTTAAATATTCCTACAAGCAGGTATTTTAGAAAAACTGTTCATCTCTTAAGCAGCTCTTTAAAACTCCACCATTGAGCTGAAAACTGACCTTATACAAGGCTGATTAAACTCCATACAAGTTTAAAGATCATTCCACAAGAAAAAATGTATGCTAAAGTTCTTGGAAATAAGGGGCAAAAGTCTATTGAAGTGAGGCAAGGGATCAATGAATGATGGAATACTCACATTAATATGCACACATAGCAATGTTTAACTTTATGCTTGAGGCTTATTTAACATAATAGCCCAATTTTTGAGTGTTTCATAAACATTCTTGTTACTTAAAAATCCTTTTTTTTCTTTTTTATATATAACAGCCCACAGGCACTTCAGTTACTGAAATGTTATGCAGAAACCTCCCCAAGAAATTTGTTCAAATAATATCTCTTCTTTCCCCTTAGCGATCTAGAAAGACCCTGACTTACCATAATTGCATTGTCTTTCTTTCATCTTACTGGAATAAGGCAACACTGAAATATAAACAGAAACAATTAGTAATTTTCTGCTCTGAGACTGATTCAAAATCCTATAGGAGAAGGAACTCTCATTGTGTTAATGATAAAAAATAGAGTGTACTTTTATACTTTCTTTTATTCTTTTCTTCACTTTAGACTCATGAACACTGCTCGTGTACTCAGCATGAATAAATTCAGAAGAATTTACACCGATAAGGAAGAAATTGGTCTTTCATATGCAGTAAGCCAAGACCTTTCATCTAAAATGCAACACAATGTAATCTAAATCATACACATTATCAGAAGTAGTACAAATAAGAAAAACATGCCATATATAACAGACCTTACTCTGATTCCTTACCATCATGATTCTTCCTGAAATCAGAAGGAACATTCTGCTTAGGACTCGCATTTTCTTGAGAAGAATTCCTGCCAATTCAATAGCAGACATATTTCTATATGAACAGAATGAACATAAACCATAGAACTTTTTTCAAAAATTTCTATATGGCATCCCAGGGCCCATGGTATTTCAATATTCTTAATGGAAAGATGAACCTTCTAGAGTCATGTTCCCAGCATTAGCAGTATTACCTGAATGACCATGATAAAAACCACACATTCCATAATAAATACTAGCATATCACATGTAAAAAGAAAATCAGAAATAAATTACAAAACAAGCTGAATTGCTGGGGGAAGGAAGAGTATATAACCAAGAATAAAATAACCCAAACCGTGTCTCTTAACTGTTTGTATAATGTCTTTTTTTATATATATATTTGAGTTTAAAGTTAGATCTTGTTCAAAAAGAACTAAATAGCAATGAAGGCCTGTGTCAAGTGAATATCTGTATCGATGTTAGCATAAATTCATATATTGGAACATCTATATGTTTTGATTTGTTTACTAACTCGAAACAAATCACATGGTCAGCACCCAGAGTATACATATGATTCCTCACTGAAAAAAGACAAGTCAATAGAATCATAGAATCATAGAATAGTTAGGGTTGGAAAGGACCTTAAGATCATCTAGTTCCAACCCCCCTGCCATGAGCAGGGACACCACACACTAAACTATGTCGCCCAAGGCTCTGTCCAGCCTGGCCTTAAACTCCTCCAGGGTTGGAGCATTCACAACTTCCTTGGGCAACCTATTCCAGTGCCTCACCACCCTCACTGTGAAGAACTTCTTCCTTAGATCTAACCTAAAGTTCCCCTGTTTAAGTTTAAACCCATTACCCCTTGTCCTACCACTAGAGTCCCTAATGAAGAGTCCCTCCCCAGCATCCTTGTAGGCCCCCTTCAGACACTGGAAGGCTGCTATAAGGTCTCCACGCAGTCTTCTCTTTTCCAGGCTGAACAGCCTCAACTTTCTCAGCCTGTCTTCATACAGGAGGTGCTCCAGCCCTC